GACTAGTAATATTTGGGGTCACAAGTTTTTGCCATGGACATTTTGTGGGTCAGAAGGCAAAAAGTTTGGGAACCACTGCTCTAAAACCATATTGATTCAGCTTTTGGAGAAGAATACTATGGTCAGTAGTGTCAAATGCTTTTCTTAAATCAACAAAAATGCTTGCACAATACTGCTTTTGGTCAACAGCGGTTGTTATTTGCTCAATTAGTTCCATGAGAGCCATTGCTGTAGAATTATTTGCTCTGAACCCGTATTGACTACTACTTAAAATATTTTGTTTGTTGTTGAATTTGTCCAATCTTGTCACAAATAATTTTTCTAAAATGTTTGAAAACTGTGGCAACAGGGATATTGGTCTATAATTGTTAAACACATTTTCCACCATTTTTATAGATAGGAATTACCTTAGCTATTTTACCCAGAGACAATCACTGAATTAGTTTTTTATTGAGATTTTTTACAAACTGAAACAATAATTGTTCCAGTGGTAGCTATTAAATCTGGATTGGATTTGTAAACTTGATGTGCCAACAGGAGTCTGTTGTTGGTTTTAAAGATGAGCGGTTTCTATAAAACACAAAGTCCTGAACAATGTAGCAACAGAAAATAAAGGAGCAGACGCAGGGATGTGGTTGACATGTACACATCCTCCTCCTGTCGGAGCGTCCCTCGTTAGTTTGGACTAAAGCTGCGTCTCACGTGTTCTTTCAGCCACTCGTTCATTTTGTGGCTAGCTAACAGATGAGTGCACCTGACCATAAACACTGAACACTTTCAGCTAAAACCAGCCAACAGAAGTGATGGGACGTGAGTGGAGCTTTGGTTTGGGACCGTTTAATTCCTTTCCCTCCTGCTGTGGGTTCAGTGTTGTCATTTCTGCTTTAGTGAACCTTGGCGTTTGTCTCTAATGAATGCCTCTGCAGCTCCTCTCAGCGTGTCAACACTTTGAAGTGCACGACTCAAACTGTGACGTGCGACACGTTCAAAGGTTCACGCAGCAGGAAGACAGGAGCTCAGTGACAGAGCAGCCCGTCTCAGACACGACTGAGCTTTGAAACCTTTCCTCTTCCTCTGCTCTGTGAAGACTAAACGACTCCTCCAGCTGCTGGATCGACACCGTGAGCCGGCCTGGTTTCTGTGCCTGCTTGAACACTTCCCTGCTGTGTTTCTTGACCGTCTCTGAACTCTACTAACTGAAGCTCAGAACTCTTGGATTCTTGAAATGCTCCCTGCCTTCTTGCTTTATTTCTAACCAAACTTCAGATAACTTCCTCATCATGTCTTTTGCCTACAGTTAAATAACCTCACTGTTAATTTTTCTTTTGCAGACAAAAGAGGTGACCTGAAAAATGGTATGTTGAACTTTAACTCAGTGCCTTGTAATATTTAATGTCACTCAGTGTGTTGTTGCCTTTTTGGAAAAGAGCAACGGGAACACCTTTTGTTAAACTATAGTAGCTTGTTGGGAACATAGCCTAGTAATTCCTTTTAAAGTAAAATAAAACCTATTTAATTAATCTTGGGCTAATTCAGGGAAATGTCAATCAAATAATACAAATGTAAAACAGGAGTCATACAATCTACAAAAGTTCCCACACGGGAACTCATACAACTCCACATTTTTTCTAAAGTAATGTGTTTTCATGTATTTTCACCTAAATAAAAAATATAGAAAACCAAAAAGCTGAAGTGGTTTCCATATAAATATTTTCAAAAACATTTATGATATGTTATCAAATTGTTGTAGTAAATTACAAAAACGTGTGTTGCCCTGAAGCATTGTACTATAATACAGTGGTTCTCATAGTTGGGATCGGGACACACAGTGGGGTCCTGAAACATCAAGGTGGGGTCCTGAAAAGATTTTCTGAATTAATTGCGCTAAAAATTACAACCAAGAATTTTTTTTGCCTTTGCTGTTACAAAAGAGTAAAGTTAGTGTACTTAAAATGGACAAATCATGAGTAGAATAGAAGAATAGAAGTAGCCTTTATTGTCCCACAGTGGGGAAATTCAGGTGTCACAGCAGCATCAGTACAGAGGTTCGCACACTAGTTACTTTTCCAACTATAGATAGTACACACAAAACAAAATTAACACTGACTAGCCATGATACAACTACTAATAAAAATATAATATAAAGAATTCTGCAAGAATAGAAAACGATGTTTTGTTTCTGAATCTGACATTAGGAATCAAAAATTGCCTGTTTTCAGTGCAAAACAATCTCAACAGACCAATAACTGTAAAGTGAAGTATCACGATGCAGACAAGAAACATAGATGTACAATTACAGCAGAGTATAGTGCAAATGATTGCTCAGATGAGTAATGACAATGAATAGTAACAGTACAAATGATTGTGCAGCAGCAGGTGTGTAAACACATTGGGCCTCATGCAAGAACCGTTCGTACGCACAGATTTGTTTGCTCAGATTACTCCCATTTTTAAAATTTTTAAATCAAATCAAATAAATATTGTTACTAAGCTCATATTTATTTGATGTGAAAACAATGTTTATCAACCAACAACAGCTAGGGGCACAGGTCTCCACTGCTGGTATTTTGTGTGTCAAAAGCTAAAAAGTCTGGGAACCACTGCTTTAATGCAAAATTACAAGATAATCCAGATATACAAAGTTGGAATATAAACTGGGTAAGAATTAGCACATGGTTTACATTTAGGTTTTATTTTATAACGCGCATAATATGATAAAAGTATGAATAATGTTCTGCTTTGAAACAACACTGGTTTAAAAATGTTAATGGGCTAAAACAATATATTTTGGTCATATTTGTTTTACAATGGTAGATAATTGCACAAGAGCAACAGATTGGTATGAAAATGTGCCTTTTTTATTAACATGTAATATATGGAGCACCTTTTTTCTAGTGTTTGGTTCAAGAAATTAATACAGTGTTCTGTTCTTTTCTCCTTTTTTTTTCTTTTTCCTTTTTTTTTTTGTTTTTGTTTTGTTTTTGTTTTTGTTTTGTGTCAGAGGCAAGGTACTGATCCAAAACAGGCCGGGAAACAGTTTGTGTTTTAATGTGATGATGATTAATGCAAGTTACAGGACAGCCAGTTGCTTGTATGTGTGTGCGTGTGTGTTTCTTTTCCTGTCGTGTTAGCAGTGTTCTTTCACAGTTTGTGTGACTCACACTGACATACAGTGGAGTCCACTACAAGTTAATCTGGTCAGCAGGAAGTCCATATGTCCATATGTGGAGCACATGGTCTCTGTTGTTAATCACTTCAAGTCTTGTTGATGCTCATTAGGTCTAATCTGTAATCTCCCAATGATTGTCTTTGGTTTGAGCTTCATTTCATCTTTTCTGATTTTTAGTATATTTCAGCAGATGGCACACAGACTTTCTTGATTTTTTTGCTGTTTTGTCGCAAATGTATTGGCTGTTAAGTAACATGTTTATGATCAGTTAAATAATGTCTAGAATAATTATAATGGAGTAATTTGCCTGTTAAACGTGGGCTGTAATACATACTGTCGTACATTTCTCTTCAAGTTTTGGTCCTGTACCAGGGTTATGTGTAGTATCTTACAAAACTAGTTGGACTGCAGTAACTATAGACCAGCTATTTCCATACCATGAGCATCATAGTAAGCTAGTATAAGACTGCTTGTATCAAACAGCTAAATTTTTGATAAACAGTAAAAAGTAGTGGGGTGGATAAACCTATGCAGCTTTAAGCTGTTATGATGTCCTTCCCTCACCAAGAGTGATGCTTTGGTTGATTGATAGATACTTTATTAATCCCTAAGGGAAATTCAAGGTGTACATTCAGCTGTACATTTACAGACAATAAAAATTAAAAAGTAGAGTATACATAAAAACAAAAATAAACACACCCATATACAGTATTTATGTAGAGAGAGAAACTGCTAAAAATTGTCAGGAATCACATAATTAATTTTTACTGTACTGGGATGAGTTGGAACAGCCTAATTGCCTGAGGGACAAAAGACTTCCTGAATCTGTCCATGGAGCAGGTCTGGGACAGCAGTCTGCTGCTGAAAGAGCTCCTCTGCCTGATGATGGCACTGCAAAGTGTGTTCAGCATTGTCCGTGATGGTCAGCAGCTTGCTGAGGACTCCTTTGTCTGCCATGGATGTGAGAGGCTCCAGTTCTGATCCAAGCACAGAACCAGCTTTCCTCACCAGTCTGTCGAGTCGTCCAGCATCCTTCTTCTTAATGCTGCTCCCCCAACAAACCACAGCGTAGAAGAGATCGCTGCAACCACAGACTGGTAGAACATGCGCAGGAGTTCCTGGCAGATCCTGAATGACCCAAGCCTTGTCAAAAAAATAGTCTGCTCTGTCCCTTCCTATAGAGGGCCTCTGTTCACTGTCCAGTCCAGCTTGTCATCCAGATGTACACCAAGGTATTTGTAGATCCTGACCACCTCCACAAGAACCCCTTCAATAGAAAGAGGTTGCAGAGAAGGCCCAGACCTTCTGAAGTGCACTAGCATCTCCTTAGTCTTATCAATGTTCACCTGCAGGTAGTTGGATTTGCACCACATTACAAAGTCCTGTATCAGGTTCTTAGACTCCCCTTGTCCATCCCGCATACACCCCACAATTGCAGTGTCATCAGAGAATTTCTGGATGTGGCAGGACTGTGAGTTTTGTTTAAAGTCTGATGTATACAGGGTGAAAAGGACAGGAGACAGCACATTCCCCTGTGGTGCTCCTGTGCTGCTTATCACTGTGTCTGTCTGAGATGCAGTCCTTGATCCTGACATATTGTGGTCTCCCAGTGAGGTAGATGGTGATCCAAGTGGCCAGTTGTATGTCCACGTCCATCTCCAACAGCTTGTCTCTCAGTAGGAGGGGCTGGATGGTGTTAAAAGCACTGGTGAAGTCAAAAAACATGACCCTCACAGTGCTTTTTCTCTTGTCAAGATGGGAGTTTGCCCTGTGAAGGAGATAGAGGATAGCATCCTCCACTCCCACCTTCTCTCTGTAGACAACTGTAGTGGATCCTCAGCATGGTGGACCTGAGGTCGCAGGAGTTTCAGCATTAGTTGCTCCATGATCTTCATCACATGGGATGTCAATGCAACCGGCCTGTAGTGATTCAGTTCCTCGTTGACTCGTTCATGCATGTTTGAGAGAGCCTTAAATCTCCTGTGGTAGTCATGTGGAGCTTCCTAAACGCTTGCTGGTACAAAGCACCGCCTATTTGTACAAAGCTCCTCTCTGGAGCTCAGTTTGCATCCGAGCTCCTGCCCCACAGAGCACCCCTCCCCAGAAGCTTTTTTTTTTTTTTCAAACATTCTATGGTGGGAGTGTCTGAAATGGTAGGAAGTTCTTACAGACAAAAAGGCCAATTTCAAGGTGCTTGGGTAGACTATGACATAAAGACACATTTATTTTTAATATGAACAGCATTTTCATAACAACGGCAGATAACATACAATTAGGTACGTACTGAAACGTATTGATAATGGACATGGGCATAAAGTCCAGACTTTCAGCTTTCATTTGAGGCTATCCATATTACAGTTGGATGAAGGGTTTAGTTCAGCTTCATGTTCCCACCCTGCTTTTAAAGGGACCAAAAGTAAATGGACAATTGACTCAAAGACTATTTTATGGGCAGGTGTGGACAATTCGTTTTGTTATCTCATTCTCAGTGAAGGAGATAAAAGGTCTGGAGTTTGATTTGAGGTGTGCTGCTTGTATTTGGAAGATTTTGCTGTGAAGAAAACGTAGTCAAAGGAGTTCTCCATGCATGTGAAACAAGCCATCTTTAAGGATTGGCAAAACCTACAGTTTGGTACATCTTGAGAAAGAAAGACAGAAAGCACTGGTGACCTGGATGCCCATGGAAGACAACAGTAGTGGATGATCGCTGAATAATTTCTATGGTGAAGAGAAACCCCATCACAACAGCCAACCAAGTGAACAACAGAAGGTTCACTGCATGGTGCAAGGCACTCCTAAGCCTCCAGAATAAAAAGGCTAGATTGGAATTTGTTTAAAAAAAAAACCAGGACAGTTCTGGAAGAAACTTCTTTGGACAGATGAAACCAGGATCAACCTCTACCAGAAGGATGGAAAGAAAAACGTATGGTGAAGGTGGATGAGAGAGAGAGGAAAATGTGGGTTTATTGAAGTTAATATTGGCATTGCAATATTAATAATACTACTCATAAGTTTTTTCTGATATGCAGCTGTAATGTATGTGCTGTTCCTTGGACAGACCTCTGAGGTTGTTTCTGGGAGTTGCTGGAGCCACTCTTCCAGTTTCTGTGTCATTGGACCAAGAGCTCGACTATTTCCTCTTTCAGCCCTTGGTATTTCTCCAGATTTTCATGTTGTTCCTCATTAATGATACAGCTGCTTGAGGTCTCTACATCTATCACCACTTCCTTTTTCTGGAGTTTGTCATTGTCTGGTTGGTTAACTATCACCTGTTAGTCAGTCTGGATCTGGAAGTCAGAGTATCTTAGTTCTTCTGTTCTCCACCACCCTTGGTGACGATTCCCACTTTTACTCGGATACCTCCAGTTCATACTCAGCACGTGTCTGTATTTTATTAAAGACACTTGGTTATGGCATTCCATGTATACATTGCCTGCCTGGATTTTTACATCCTGCTGTTATGTGTTGGACTGTCTCAGGGGCTTAAGCCTGCATATTGGGTCCTGTCTGAGTTCCTCTGTGTCTATGAAGGAGCAGCCAGTTTAGCATATCATGTTAATGTACCAGTAATTGCAAACTTATCTCATGAGTGTTTAGAATGCTTTGTTTAAAAAAAAGTTATAATTTTACTGCAGTCATCGCATTGTTCTCACCAATGCTTTCCTATAAAACGTGTATAAACCGAGTCCGGATTATCCCATGGGCCTTCTGGGCACGGGCCCAGGGGCCCACGCCCACTATGGGGCCCACGAAGAAGGGGGGGGGACAGCGCTTTTTGTATTACTTTGTAAAATAACATGGGCAGATGTAAGATACATGTGGGACATGTCCCCCGCCCTGCTTGTGTCTGTGGTTCTGTCCCTGCACTTTTTAAAGTGATTGTATCCATTTAATTTATTAACACACGTTTTTTCCGAACCGTCTTTAAACGCACCATAACCATGCGCGTGAAAACGCCGGTGTACCTGCTGCACCGCAGGGGGAGAAGTCCTGCTGAGCAGAGCTTCAACATGTCAGAAACCAGATAGAGCCAGCAAATCGCAAAAAACTGCATTTTCTTTTCTTTAAACAACCAGTAAGTTGAGTGATGCTGCTGGAGGCACTAAAGTCCGCTCTGCATTTTCCTGGTTACCTACAACAAGAAGCAGGCAGGAGCAACAGGTGATGATCAGCTGCTGTGGTCGTTGTTTTCAATATCTGATCCCTCCAGACATTATGGCCATCAGGAGATTCTTTACAAAGAAGCAGAAGCACGTTGTGCCCAGGGGCCCCTGAAATGATAATCCGGCCCTGAAAGAGACCCTCTTTGTTCAGTCTTTACAATTGGTCAAGGTTTGATACTTTGTGTTGTAGATGAGCACTGTATATTTTTATGACATGGTTGTAAGAGATAATATGCCACTACATGCAAAGACATTTATAACTGTAAAGATAAGTTATTTTCTGTTTACTAACAGAAAGAAAAAAAAATTGGAAATCTTGGTGATACTTAAAAAAATGTATTAAAAAATAACTTCCTTTAATTTTTAAGGAGCCATTTGAACTAAGATCATTTCTGGTCAGTAATCTAACTAAACATTAAGCAACCTTTTTTTATCAATATGATAATTGATTTATTTGTTCTGTTTTTTGTTTTTTTAAATCTAGTAATAAAAGTTACACATTTTGACCTGCATGGATCACTCCATTAAGTACAGAGTGGTGGAACAACAAGACCTGCTGTATTTCTCGAGAGAGAAGTCAGATTTGAGGAAAGCCTCTTGGTGGGGTCGCAGAAATCCAGCATTCATTGGGGGTGGGGGACAAGATTTGGACTGGGATTAGCTGTGGATTATTTGTTATGTCAGATGTTGCTGTATTTTATTTAGATAAGAAATTTGTTTACAGAACAAAACAGACAAATTGGAAGAGAGGAAGAAAGACGTGCATCCATTTACACTGAATCATGGCAGCTTTTTACAAGTGGGGAAATCCTCAATGATGGACATGGATTAAAGAAGACATTTCTAGAAGATCTTTGCCTTGCTGATCCTATATTTCACTGGATTATTGAATCCATGTGGATGAGAGCTTTTGAGCGAGGGCAGGCCATTTGGCAGATTAAATACTGTCTTTTACATTTATATTCCAATAGTTGTAAGTCTTTTACACTGCTGCCATCTAGTCTGGATTTCTAGGAAGCATTTTCTCTTCTAAAGGCCATGTTCATTTTTAAAAACATTTTAAAAGTATCAAGTAGTCCTGCCTAATAAATATCCTAAGTGCCAGTTCTTTGACTGTACACAGGTCTCTGATTCTTCAAATGCTCAGGTTTTTGCTCTGCGTTAAAGCAAATAACAACCCTGTAGGCGTTACATTTTGCTTAGAGAGTGAATTTTTTTCATGAACAGATCACAGCTGATCACAGAAATCCTGACAAGGATTTACTTTGGAAGGTTTTCCAATGGCGTCTGGTCTAACTTTTCTAAAGCATTAATGACAAACTTATTTTTCCTTATTTATTGTTTGCTTCTCTTTGCTGGTTTGGCTTCAAACCTGTTGCAGATTAATAAAAGACAAGTTTTCTCTCCGTTTGTGGTCACTGTTCGAATCTGATGTAAACCTCGTAAACCATGGCAGCAGAGTGAAAAAGGACATACAGTATTGCTAACTAGTTAAAGTAACAGGCACAGTTTCTTCACATCCCTCAGGTTGTCATTCTCAGACATTTTTCATGATTTAATGTCCTCCTCTGTAGTCTTCCATTAAGTCCATTTTGTCTCAAACTAGTGTTGTCCAAATGCCTTTATTGGTATCTGATACCAGCATTTCTACAAGTACTTGTTCAGAATGCCCCGATACCGGAAATGATGCCAATACCAGTTTAGAATCTCAATTGAATGCGTTACAGTTTATATTTCAAATTAAAGTTTGTCACTTCCATGTTTATGAAAGATATAGAAGTTGAAAGAAAATCTTAGTTATTTTTATTTATTGTAAAATGTTTCAACAGTAAATACCATGCGGTGTCTTTGATTAGTTCCAGTCATAGGGCCTGTAGGCCTATAAGGAAGGAGAGACCCCTTGTTCTAAATAATAGAAATGGGTGTTAAAAGAGCTGATGACACGATATTGACATTTTCTGCCATTTTTTTATAAACCAAAAGGTCCCTCTCAATGAACTATTCAATCATTCCAACTGTGCATAGATAACATCATTGTTTTCAAAAAACCAAGTCAAATTTGAAACGATTGTATCGTCGCTTAGTAGCCGAAGAAGAAAGCGGAAGTGACGTCTCTGACAGAACGGTCCCCTCAGATTTGTCTGTGAAAGCTAGCAGTTTTATAGCAAACATTTCAGAAGTATAAGTATCAGGTATTAAGAAGTTTTTGGAGTTTTTGTGGTTGTAAATAATGGCAATTCCATCCCGTATCGCAGGGTTTTGTTCAAACACCCATAAAGATGGTTAGTTTATTTAAAGTCATTGTGTAATGTTGGTACTCTGCATAGCCAGTATCCATACTGAAGTACGTGTACTGATCTCAAACAGACTGGTGGTCTGATCTGACTCTGATCACCTTGGAGTTCATCTCTAATCTCTTTGGAAAGTGGTCTGGACTCTAAAGTTACCATTTGCTTGATTGATCTCTACAGTTGTCCTGTAATGGAGGGAGGTTGTCTCCAGTCCTGCAGACCTGAATAATCTGAGCAGCTGTAGTCTCAGAAACATCCAGTTGGTTGGAGATGGTCTGATAGTCTTTGCCTTCAGCACGATGTCAATCATTGTCTTTCTGTGCTCCACGCTCAGTGTAGTACACACCATGATACCAAACAGCCCTGTAACTACATTTTACCCTTTAAACAGACAGACTGATTACATGACATATCTTTGATTACTTGTCCCTGTGTGGACAGATTAGTTTCAATATTTTCTGAAGTTATCCTTTGTGTCAAGACAGTTTCATTGTTTTTTTCTGCTGAATCAAAATTCAAAATCCTTGTCTAATTGTCGCAAATACTTTTTTACTTTGGTAAATTTGATATTAAGGAAAATCATAGAGTTTCATCTTGTCACACAGTTCAGCTTCATTAGTGAGGCTTCTTGAGAAATATAACTGGATGTTAAAGTTGAATAAATATTCAAGAATGAGTTGTTAAGAGTCTACCTTTCCTCTCCCCGTCCCTCTGCTCAGGTCCCTCTCTGCCCATGGCCACAGTGGACATAAAGAACCCAGAGATCAATAATGTCCGATATCACAACTCACACAGCCACCAGCAGCCCTACCACCTCAACAACGTGCTGAGCCACAGCAGCCTGATCCGCAGAGACAAGAAAACTAAAGGCAAGAAGAAGAAACTGACCAAGGCTGACATCGGCACGCCCAGCAACTTCAAGTGAGTCCCGTCTCACACACCTGCATTCAGTCAGAAAACACTGTTTCATTTGCACAGTTTGAAATATGTGATGTACGCTTTTGTCTTGCATCAGTGGCCACAGCTAATGTTAATTTGCATGCTAATATATGTCTGTGTGTCTCCTCTCCTTCAGGCACATTGGTCATGTGGGCTGGGATCCAAACACAGGTTTTGATGTGAGTACCCTCCTCGACACAAAGGCCCAACAGTGATGTGTCTGATGACTGCATGATGAAGTCACACAATGAGCTTTTGTTTGCTTCCTGTCTTGTTTGCACAAACATTTTGCAATGTCTGCACAGAAACAAAAAGTTTCAGAAAGAAGCAGACTTCAGGCTGGTTACAGACTAGGGGGATTGATTGATCATTGCTTAATGTGTGGGATGAGAACTCTTTCATTCAAGGTTTTATTTAGACATTTTATACATTTTTATGTTGTTTTAAAATGAATGTATTTGATCTGAAGCACCTCCTCCTTTAAACATTAAGTAGGGGATATATTAAAGAACAGTATCAGCAAAGACCTCTCTGACAGTCAACATGAAATATCTGAATCTGAAAATGTGATTTGATCTTTTTGAACAAATTTGACTTAATCCTTGATTTGATGTTTGGTCACAAATTATAAAGGCTTCAAAACATTTACAGTTGCCACAGACAGCTCAGAGATGAAGAAAAAGGCAAACAAGGTCCAGTCAAATCTTTCATTGAATCAAGTACGGTCTAGAAAGAATCCCAATAAACTGGTGTCAGAACAAAACCAGGAGCTCTCAAACTGTGAGGCAGGTGGAACTAACCTGTTGTACCACAGACCTATTATAGGAACTATATTTGTTACTGACCTATTCTGAGTGGTCACTGATCGTTGTCATTTTTTAGAACTCTTGACAGTTTGATTGTCAGGTTTGGAGTTTAAGTCACGAACAAAGAAGATGAAAAGAAAATAGTTTGAAACTAAGATAATTGTGCTAAATATTTGTGCTAAATATAGCAAAGAGGCATCTGGGGAGGTTAATGAACAAAAGTGTTGCGTATTTGCCTTTTCTCTGTACGCCCAACGTGCGCAAATCCCGACCACGGTCCCAGAATGCACTGCAGTGAGCCGCCTGTAGTTCTTCCTGTTGGCCACTAGATGTCAGAGTGACACTGAAATGGAGTTTGTGTCTTAGTAAAGAGCAGCTTCTCATTAAGGCCCTCATGACTGCACCATCATCATCGTCATCATCATCGTTTATTTGTAAAGCACAATAAAAACCAAAGTGCTGTACAGAAACATAAATACAAACAATGAACAAAGTACAGTAATAAAATAAACAATAAAATTAAACTAGAACAAAGGCTGGCCTAATGATCGTGCTCTTCAGACTCAAATGCCTGTTAAAACAGATGAGTTTTTAACAGAGACTTAGAGACCCAGCTGACCTCACAGACAGTGGGAGATTGTTCCAGAGCCGAGGTCCTGCAACTGAAAAGGCTCTGTCCCACCACACACCTGTACATACAGATCAACACAAAGCCTTCAGTCACTGAAGCTGAAGCAGGTCAGACTTCACAGTTTGATGCCTGTTTCACACTCAGTTAATCAGTATAAAACCACATGCAGGTGAGTCAGAGCAGAGAATGTTTTTTTAGTAAAGATGTCACCTCTACTGTTGACAGCTGAACAACCTGGACCCTGAGCTGAAGAACCTGTTTGACCTGTGTGGGATCTCAGAGGCTCAGCTGAAGGACCGAGAGACGTCTAAAGTCATCTATGACTTCATTGAGAAGAAGGGCGGCGTGGAGGCCGTGAAGAACGAACTGAGGAGGCAGGGTGAGCCTGTTCACACACACACACGCACGCACACGCACACACATTTGTTCTTCAACCTTGTGGGAACATTCCATTGACTTCCATTCATTTTTTTAGACTTTATAGCCTAACCCTGACCATTTACTCTTAAATTAACTTCACAGGTACCTGACCCTAGCCTGGCCCTTGCCTTCTTATGCAGCTCCGCTCAGTTCTAGTTTCCCTTCACTGCTCCATCTGGGATTTCTCCCATAGACAAGGATTTTTTCAGGAGCATTTCATTCAGGCCAATCAGAGAACAGAACGTTGATTTTCTGTGCAGTGTCTGCTTGTAGTTTATTTTACCTGGGCCAGTCAGCAAACAGAAGGAGGAGTTTTGAACGTTGATTTTCTGCACAGTGTCTGCTAGTTATTTTAGCATACGGCAGTGGAGGAAGTGAATGAAACCAGTCTGTGTTTATAAGGCTTCAAATTAAAATAAATATGTCTGACAAAGCAGCAGCTCTCATTTACAGTCGTCTTGTTCAGCTTGGTATTTTTCTCCTCTCAGTAGGGTTGTTTACAGTGCACGCGATTTCCGGTTAGCCTCTTAGCTTAGCCTTCACAGCGACATACGTCGCAGCCAACTGATCCAATCATTTTAAACTTCAGCAGAGGCCACGCCTCCTGCAAGAATCACTTCTCTATGCATCAAGTCCAGACCCTCGTACAAAGCAAAGTGAAGGACAGGGTCTGGATTTTACCAGGCTATCCAGACCCTATAAAACTAACATAAAACTTGGTCCTAAACCTAACCCCCCACTTGTAATTTGCTTTTGGATGCACTTCGGTCCCCATGAGGCTGCTGCTTTGGGAAAATTTTCTCCACATTGTAGGAAAAACCCGTCCACACGCACGCACACACACACAGGTTTGTTTTATGTCCCTGTGGGGACCATGGATTGACTTTCATTCATTTTCTGGTAATTTTTTAACGTAACCCTGACCGTTTACCCTAAAATTGACCTAAACTCAATTCACACCTTGGTCCTAAAACAACCCCCCCCACCCCCAACCCCACCCAAAATCAGCCTCTGAGGTCGTAGGGACCGAGCTTTGAGGCTGCCTTTTCTCGAAAATGGTTCGCACAATGTAGCAAAAACGTGCCCACACACACTCTTGTGCCAGATGTTTATTGAAATTTAGATCTTTATAAAAACACACGTAATAATTTCCACCAGGTATGATCTGGGAACAGTTAAGAGGTAAACACACACCTGATCTGAATGACTGGATGATGAACAGGTTTCTGCAGGGTCAGGTCCAGGATCTGAGCTCTTGTTGTTACTGATCTCCTCTCTCATCTCCTCCCTGCAGCTCCCCCTCCCCCTCCCTCTCGTGGCGGCCCTCCTCCTCCG